GTGAATCAATATTTTTAAAACAAAATTGAAGACATATCTATTTAAAAATTTTTATAAGTAATTGACACTAGTTTTACCAATTTTAACTATTGCTAGTTGTATCTATCTAACTGAATTTTTATCTTATTCACTTCTTATATTGACTTTTATATAGTAATTGTAAATAAACTTAAATTTTTAAATGGATTGATGTAAATATATTAAAATTTAAAATTTTCTAAATACTGTAAAGCGCCACTGAGCTATAGGAAATGGCGCTATAGAAATACATATTATTATTATTATTATTATTATTATTATTATTATGTCGGCAAGTGCAACCGAACGTAATCTGCGTCGCACAGATCACATTTGAATAAATAAACAACACATTGCAGATCACAAGGGGTGGTTTCGTTTCTGCTGCTGGGATATCTGCGGCAATCTTCCTGCTTGTGTAGACAGACTGTATTTGCCTACAGTGCGGAGCTGTCGCCTCATGCTCACCGAGTCTGCTGATTTCTAATCTTTAAATGGTAACATTACATGTACCAGGTTTTCTTTGATGTTTCTTTCGTCGGCAGGATGATCATCGCTTTCGCGTTTCTGGGGAGTGCACTTCGTTATGATGTTTGTCAAGCAGGGATATAGGACGCCTGAAGAAAACCTTCGTTCGTGTCACATTCTTCGGTGAAGATGGTTTTTTGCAAATATATTTCATTCTTGCAAGATTTTGTAAATTTCAAAAGCTTTTTGAGAAAAAAAAGACAAAAGAATTGCTAAATGAAGGGAGCAAAGGCGTCGACGTTAACGATAAATATACTATAATATATATTTCACACAAATTGTTACATGATTTTGGTAAAGCCGAAGCCATAGGCTTATTTGGCAAAAATATTTGAAAGTATGGCTGGTGGTCAGTACAAAAAATTAAATATGAATGATTCCAACTGAGTAATAGTATAGTATAGTAAATGTATATGCTTTATGGGAAAAAAACGATATATACAGCCAAATTTCAGTCCTCCTTTTTACCCCAGAGCCATTCCACATGCACATGTCAACCATTCTGAAAGGTTAAATAGTAGTTCTTTAGAATACTTCTAAAATTTTGAGTTGTCAATGATTGCCGAATTAAAAGAGGGATAGAATTCCAATTTTTCGGTCCTTGCGCACGAATGGAAAAAGAATATTTATGGAAGTGATATCCAAATCCTGTCTATGCCTTGTAAAATGATCATGGATGTTATAGTTAAAGTCGAATAAGCAAGAAATGGTTGAAGGAAGGAGATTGTTAATACGTCTAAAAATAAAACACGAAAGTTGAAATTCATAAATCGGAAAAACAGTGAGAATATTTAATTCCTTAAAAAGTGGTTTGGAGGGAGTGAGAGGAGGAGAATGCGTGATAATTCTCATGACTTTTTTTTGACATCGAAGGAAAGGATGAAGATGTGTTGTGTAAGATGATTCCCAGATAATGGTGCAGTACTGTAAATAAGGCAAGATTAAAGAATTGTATAATACGGAGAGCGTTGATCTATCAAGGGAATGACGAGATTTTGAAATATTCCAATGTTTTTGGAAATTTTTTGTAGTGATTGATTGTATATGTGGGATCCAGGACAAATTTTCCTGTACAGTAATTCCCAAAAATATACTAACCCTTTCTAAAGTTCGCGACGAAATTAAAAAGGAAAAACAAAACTTTACCGTGTCAAAGTAAAACCATTACAGTCTAATAACCCAAAAGATGGTGGAAAAATATCAAACTTATATATAGAATAAGCAAGAACCAGAAAATCAACCTTGTCAACCCTGACTCTGGTGAACCTCTAACCTCAGAAGAATCAGTAAAGTGCATTAATGATTATTTAATTAACTTAACTAAAGACTATAATAAAATATCAAACGCTCTACAGCTGGGTGGAGACGATCTTGCTCTTCCTACCATTTCAAGGGAATGATTTGCACAAAAGCTGAAAAAATCAATATCAATAAGTCCCCAGATCCCTTTGATCCACCAACGAAAATAATCAAACACTTTGCGGAGCAGTTATCCGGTCCACTAACAGACATTATTAACACCTCCTTTCAAGAGAAATGTTTCGGGGAGATTTGGAAAGCATACAACTGCTGCCCTATCCCAAAGTCAAACCCATGCACTACAGTAGGAGATATTAGACCAATTGCCCTTACAAGTGTATTTTCAAAAATTCAAGAATCATTTGCACTGGATTGGATGTTGGAAGATCCAAGGGACTGTCCCAGCGAACGTCAATTTGGGGGAATTCCTCGTTCGTCGTCAGTATTAGCCCTCCTCGAAATGCTACACACATGGTTTGTCGCCTTGGAGAAACCCAAATCGGAAATTAGATTCGTTTGCTTGGATTTTTCCAAGGCATTTGACCTTATAGAACATAACATCTTGCTGAATGACTTTAAATCTGTTGGAGTTCGTCCCGCTTTACTACCACGGTTAGCCTTGTACCTATCCGACCGGTTACAGAGGGTAAACATAGATGGATCGACATCGTGTTTTAAAAAGATCAACGCAGGGGTACCCCAAGGAAGTAAAATCGGCCCGATAGCATTTATTACCAAAATTAATAAACTACCAGATTCGGCACTCACTGACAAAAATTCAGGAAAAGAACATGTTTCAATTTTTATGGACGATACTACCCTATCAGACATTCTTAATATAAATAACCCTGAAACCCACCCAGTGAGTAACATCCAAGCAAATGTTGAAAGAATTTCAAAATTTTCAAAAGACGAAAACATGAGGTTGAACTTGAAAAAAACTAAAGAAATGGTAATCGACCTTCGAATTATGAAATCTGAAATACCAGTGATTACGATAGACAACATTCCTATTGAAAGAGTACAATCCCACAAGCTATTAGACATTTGGCTTCAATCAGATCTCAAATGGCATACTAATACCTTTTTAATTATTAAAACGGCCAGGAAAGCCTATATTTGTTAAAGGTGCTAAAGAAATATGGCGCACCAGTAAAAGATCTATAATTAAAGTTTTATTGTTCAGTGATTCGATCGGTTTTGGAATACGGTGACATATTATGGCATGGAGGCCTAACGTTATCACAAAGTCAAGATATTGAAAGAATCCAAAAACGTGCTCTAAGGATTATCACTCCTGACCTAAGTTACGAAGATGCTCTTGCTTCGTCTAAACTACTTCCACGGAATCAGAGACGGGACGTACATTCAGTGGCGTAACGTTATATCAGGGGGCCCCCGGTTCAAAATTTTCGAAGGCTCCCTAATAGAAGTGACAAAGGCACGAGTCGAGCGCCGTATATGCACGAGTTTTCTAGGGGGTCCAGGGCATGCTAATCCGGAAAATTTTTGAATCTAGACTCTCTGAAATGCCATTTCCTGGACTTTGGGGAGAGATTTTACAGAATTCTGATGGTCAGAAAACGACATTGTAACATATCAGAGGCCTGGCCAATGTTTTTGCTCTATCGCCTAAGCCTGGGGGCCCCCATTGGGGTTGCCCCCCCCCGGGTTCTTCCGGTCTGAGCCCATAGTAGTTACGCCACTGCATACATTGCAGTGACTTAATTTAAAAAAATGTCCTCCCCGTCACATAAATTACACTACCTATTACCTGTGAAAGTAAGAAACATTAGAAATAGGGAAACTAGATCCAATAGAAATAAATTTTATAACTTTAAAAGTAGAACTGATCGTTTTAAGAACAGTCCACTAGTCTATGCTATTGATAAATACAATAATAATATATAATGTACTTACTAGATGTAAATAGATATAAATAATAATAATAATAATACGAATTATTTATATAGCGCCAATTCCCTAAAGTCCATTAGCGCTTTACAAGATTTGTAACCTAACTAAGAACTAAGAGGAAATATTACAAGTAACTAATTAAAAACTATGCTAAAAAGATGTGTCTTAAGAAGTTTCTTAAAAATTTCAATATTATGACAGTTCCGTATTCTGTCTGGTAATGCATTCCACAATGTTGGAGCTGAAACAGAAAACGCTCTAAAACCATATGTACGTAGATTAAAATTAGTTGTATCAACAAGGTTCTTTGAGGATGATTTTAACGTTCTTTTTGGTTCATATGGTTTAACTAATTCTTTTAAATACAATGGTGCCATGTCATGCAAACACTTGAAAGTTAAGAGAATAATTTTAAAATTGATTCGTTGTTCCACAGGCAACCAATGCAATTCCCTCAAAATTGGTGAGATATAATCATATCGTTTAGATAAGTTTACCAATCTAGCCGCTGAATTTTGCACACTTTGAAGTTTTTGGATCAGCCGCTTAGGTAGTCCATAGTAAGAAGAGTTACCATAGTCAAGCCGTGATGTTATAAATGCATGAACTAGAGTTGTAGCTGCTGACTTCGACAAGTATTTCCTTATCCTTCTAATGTTTCGTAGATGATAGAATCCTGACTTGCATACTTCCGTAATATGTTGCTCCATGGACATACCACAATCGAAAAGCATACCAATATTTCGAACATAGTTCGACGGTGTGACTACCTCACTACACACCGAAACCGAAAAAATAGGTGGTTGAGGAAGGTGTCGAGCACTGAGAACTAACAGCTCAGTTTTGTCTCTGTTCATTTTTAACATATTTGACGTCATCCATGCATCAATGTCAGAGACACATGCTTCAATCTTGGATTTTGCTAGATCAAGTTGACCATCCACTGATGATTTAAAAACTATATATAATTGGGTGTCATCCGCATACAGGTGAAAGTCAATACCATGTTGTCGAATGATGTCAGCCAGAGAGGACGTATAAAGCACAAACAACATGGGTCCCAAAACTGACCCCTGCGGAACACCATATTTCAAGTTATAACAATTTGAGGTTTGTCCTTCCACCTTAACAAACTGTGTGCGATCAGATAGATATGATGAAAACCATTCCAAGACTTTACCGTTGAAACCAAACCTTTTTTCCAATCGGGAAAGTAATATTTGATGATCAACCGTGTCAAAGGCAGCCGACAAATCCAAAAACAAAAGTATTACCGATGACCGATTGTCTAATGCCAGGAGAATATCATTTTGAACTTTAACTGAAGCAGTTTCAGTGCTATGATACTTTTTATAGGCTGATTGATACACTTCATACAAGTTATTATCCCTAATATAAGTATCAACTTGGGACGCAACAACTTTTTCAACAGCCTTTGACAAAAATTTCAAATTGGAAATTGGTCGAAAGCTTGAGAATTCTTCATGATCCAGAGACGGTTTCTTCATAGATGGTAGCAGAAGTGCCATTTTCAAACTGGGTGGGACCAATGCATGATGCAGAGAAAGATTAACAATGTCTGTTATCACAGGAAGTAATAGATGACCACACTTTTTAAAAACAGAAGCTGGTATAGGATCCAGTTGACATGATTTACTTGACATTTTATCAATTAATTTCCCAAGATTTTCAGATGTTACAGGGGTAAAGGTGGATAGCTCAGCCTGTATTGGGTATGTCTTGTCATAATCGAAATTCATAGATGTTTCAGACAGCAATGTTGATCTTATATTTGTAATCTTGGTACAAAAGAAATTCGCAAAATCATTTGCCAAATTACCAGAAACACCAGATGAAGGATAAAGCTTTTCCGCTTTTTTATGAATCATCTTGTCTACAGTACTAAAGAGATTTCGTTGATCAGGTCCCAAACTATCAATCAAATCACCATAAAAAGACATTTTCGAATGAAAGATCAAATCATTGACTTTCATACATTGCTTAACATACAGATCTCTGTCGGTCGCCATATTAGAAGAACGCCAACGCCTTTCAAGTCTCCTTTTAATAATTCTTTCTGCATGAATTTCCTGTGTGTACCAAGGAGAAAAATCACGTATTGTGACCAATTTATTATGTAGGGGAGCATGAGTGTCTAATAATGATCTGAGCACAGTTTCATATTCCTCAACTAGTTCACTGACTGGCAAGGACCCAGTTGATTCAGACATAAGAGACGATCTTTCAAGGTCTGTACAAAATTTTTCATAATTTATGTTCCTTAGCTTGCGACAACAAATTTCTTTCCTTTGTCGTTTAGGTTTCTCAACTAAAACATTCACATTTACAGAAAAGTGGTCAGAAATACCCGGGTCGTTGATATATAATGAGTCAATGATGTTATCTTCATAGCGTGTAATAATTAGGTCGAGAGTATGGCCGTCTTTATGAGTAGGTTCACATACGTGTTGCTTAAGGTTAAAGGAATGGATTATATCCAAAAATTTTGCCGCTTGTGAATTGTTTTGGTCATCTACATGGAAATTAAAATCCCCAGTAATAATGAAATGTCCGGCATCAAGAATAATTTGTTCTAGGAAGGATCTAAATTCGGACAGGAACGATTCACAAGTCAGACCATTTGATGTAGAAGGTGGTGGCCTATACACAACAATGATACAGGATTTGAAACATTAGATACCATATCCATATATTCAAACGATTTAAACTGCATCCGAGAGATTTGCTTAAACGCAAAAGCCTTTTTGTAAATCAATGCCACTCCACCACCTCTGGATTTCCTGGCAACGTGCTTAAAGACATAATTCAAAGGCGTACAATTTCTAATTATATATTCATTCTGACTGTCTTGATTCAGCCACGTTTCAGTTAAAGCTAAAATATCGACACTATTATTGGCAATAAATTCTCTGATTGCTGTAGATTTGTTGCTAATGGATCTTGCATTTAAGAGGCTAAACTTGGCCCTTCTGGTAGGTCTAAAACTAGCATCAGTTCGGCATATAGGAATCGAGATAAGGTTGTTGCGATTCACAGTTTGTTTATGAAGACGGACATATGGTTGGCGAGGCGTGACTAATGTTTGAATATTATATGCAACTTCAAAATTCTCCTCTACTGTTTTAACCGGGCGCAGAAAGCGAAAATTAGGTTTTTCAGTCCTTTTCCATTCTCTTAAACCTGAATATACAACAGGAATAGTAAAAATACGAGAACTTATCTGAGAGGTATATTGCTTTGATTCACGTATCATAGGAGATGCAGCAAGCAATGTCTTCAAGTTCGAGGGCACTAATGGCGAACACATTTGACTAGGTTTTACAGTTGAATCAGATTTACAAGCACGAACTCCCACAGGTCCAGGATTTATGGCAACGTCCATATAAATAGTAAGGTCTTCTTTTGGAAGGGACCTTGGAGACGCCAGCGACAGATATCCATGCTTCGTCCACGAACAATTTCCACATGAGCCAGGAAGCTTCGTACACAATATCCTTATTGATATTGATTTTGGTCGATAAAATGAGCAGTCAATGGGATAGTTTCCATATTTGCCACTAATCTTTGAGTATGAGCTACAAATATAACTCGATAAGCACAAAGCCGCCAGAAAAAGCAAGATACAACTACGGGAGTAATTCACACGACTACACACGTAGTTTTAATAACATTTTAATAGATTAGTAGTAGTACTTATAATATGTAAATACATGACAATTAAGTTATCTTATTCCATATATACTATTAAAACCCAGTATTATATTACATGTTCATTGATTTTTAACTCATCCAGCGGGTCGATGTTTTTTTTTCTGCTAGGATGAAAGAGTATAAACTTGGTTTTATCTGGATGCAAAGTAATTTTATTGGCTCTAAGCCAAGAAGCAACTTTAACAAGTTCATGGTTGAGTGTGTTAATGAGGGAATTTATATTATTGTCACTATAAAATATATTTGTGTCATCTGCGAATAGTATAAAAGATAGGCAGTTGGATGTATTAAATATATCATTTATAAAGACAAGAAAGAGTGATGGTCCAAGAACCGAACCTTGGGGAACTCCGCATTTAATAGTTTTAAGTGAAGATTGAACATTGTTAATTTCAACATGTTGAGATATTTCACTAAGGTAACTTTTTATCCATGAAAGAGCATTACCACGAAAACCAAAAAAGACATTTTATCAATTAGGATGTCATGGTTGACAGTGTCAAAAGCCTTTTTAAGATCTAGAAACACGCCAACAATTAGCATATTATTTTCAAAACATGATAAATTCCGTTGACCAGTTCCAGTATAGCCATGAATGTAGAATGATTTTTTTCTATTGGTGGTGGTTTACAATTTGAAACTTATATGGGAAATCCATGAATCTCTTATACATCACCTTTTCAAGTATTTTTGAGAAACAAGGAAGAATAGAAATCGGTCTAAAGTTGGAAAAATTATGACAATCATTGCTTTTGTAAATAGGCAAGATCTTAGCAATTTTTAGCTGGTTGGGTACACTACCTTTGGCAATTGAAGAGTTGAATATGTAACACAATGGTACTGCAAGTACGTTAATACTTGTTTTAATAATAGGCGTTCTAATACCGTCTACCCCTTCACTGTAACTATTTTTCAACGAATTAGTGATAGTAGGAGTCAGGAAGATTCACTCATTAAACGAGCCCAATAGATAATCCCTATATGATTATTGTCTGATATGTCTGTAAACTTATTTGAAAGAGAGGTCCCAACATTTATAAAGAAATCGTTAAGTTTATTAGCAATTAAATGTGGATTACTGTAAGTTCCACTGCCATTTTTCATAGTTGAAGGTACCTTTCCTTTTGTTTACTACCAATAACAGATCTATTAATAGACCATGTTGCTCGCAAATCCGATTTATGGTTCAAAAGTTTATTGTGATAATAATAATAATAATAATAATAATAATAATTACAATAATAATAATAATAATGATTTAATCAATAAGATCCACGAGGTGGCTCTTCCCCTATTGAAACTACATACAAACATTTTTAGCTAAGTGTAAATATATATACAAACTTAGGTAATATAGAAAATGAATATTTAGAGAAAATGTTAGTGCATATTTACATTATACGAGACTTTAGTACAGCCCTAACTTTTGTACAGAATTGACTGTAGTCGTATATAGATCTAATGTCAGATGGTAGGCTATTGAACAGTTCGGATGAAATGTCTTGGAAAGTACCCTTTTCCATGGGCCTAACCAAATTTAAGCTGGTACTTGAGCGTAGGCTGCGAGCTGGTTTATATAGTTCAACTGCAGCATACTTCGGCCAGTTCTGTGAATAAATTGCTTTATGGGTGGCTTTGAGTAGGTTGAAATCTCTACGTTCACGCATCGGCAGCCAGTTAAGCTTTAATAGAGTTTCGGCAGAGTTCACATATTTTCCGGTAACAAAACTAGCTGCCGAAAACTGGATCCTTTGCAGCCTACTTAAAAGGTAGTCGGGGAGAGGGTTGAAAACAAGATCACCGTAGTCCATCTTGGACAAAATAAGCTGTTCGACCAACTGCTTTCGTAAATAACATGGAGTAAAGTTCTTTATTTTCCTAAGAGTGACCAAGGTGCTGTAGCAAGTCGAGGACAATTGTTTAATATGATCATTCCAAGTAAGGTTTTCGGTAATGTGCAAACCAAGCAGTTTTGTGACGCGTATTCGCTCTAATAATTTACCATCAACCGCTAGACTGGTCTCATGCAAATGTAGTGAGTGAGTACTTGCCATCTGCTGAGTTGAAAAAACCATACATTTGGTTTTTCCTGCATTGAGAGCTAAATTAGAATCATAAGACCAGTCTGATAGTTGCACAAGAGCAGTGTTCATCTCTGCCTCGCACTGCAATAGATCTATGTATTTGCAGTGTTTATAGAATGTTGAATCGTCTGCGTGTTGAAAGCAGGTTACTTGTTGATCAATATTCTCCTGAAGGTCTGCTACATATAAATTAAGAAACATCGGGCCGAGGATGGAGCCTTGGGGTATTCCAAAATCTATAGTCATCTTGTTCGAGGTTCTATCATCAATTTGAACAAACTGTGCACGATTTGACATATAATTAAGAACCCACACAAGAAAAGCCTTTATAGAGAGAGAAATTTAGTTTACGCATTTTGGTAATCATCGATTTAAAGCTAACAGTGTCAAAGGCCTTCGAATAGTCCGCCAACACCATCAAGGTGATTTCACGCTTTTTCATAGCACGGATTATGTCATCCTTAATACCAATTAAGGTCGTGATGGTAGAATGACCTTTACGAAAACCAGTGACTTTATTTCCCAAGCTTTGGGAAAACAAGAGTCCCTGATACACTTATTAATAAGATTCGTGATGGGTACAGCAATATCCTCACTAACCATCTTAACATAATTGATAGGTATACAGTCAGATCCCGTTGATGAATCAGTTCGAAGTGTTTTGATAATATTCGTTACTTCATTTTTTGAGACTTGTCTAAGTTTAAAAGAATCATTCATATCATCAGGTAAATTGTCAATCATTTCAACAAGTTCGTGTTCTTCCGCAGCTCGACAACCAGTAGTTCTCTGTGCTGTCGTTACAAAATGTTGATTGAGGTCATCTAGGTCAACACGAAAGTCATTAATGAAGGCAGATCTGTCAAAGGTTCTTGTGTTCCTAATATATTTATATCTTGGTTTAAATTGTGGAACTCTAGTATTAACACAAGCATATACTCCATCATGATCACTCACAATAAAACATGGGATTACACCAGATGCCGTAACACTTGATGGTGAGTTTACGACAATATGGTCAATAATTGTTGTCAAGGTCAATAATATGGTCAATAATTGTTGTCAAATAACTTTTCCTGGCAAGTTTAACAAGGTAATTGTACTTATTACGATAATTCGTATAGGTTGTCTTAGTGGAAATGTCAGGATTTTGAAGGTATTTTTTTATATAGGCGATCTTTTTTCATGGAGGAATTATATAAGCCATTAGTAAACCAAGACTTAGTATTTTTTATAGTTTGTGTGGTAAAGGTTCTCACTGGAAAACACTCATTATAAATAGGTTGAAGTATATTCATAAATGATGTATGTAGTTGGTTAGTAGTCATTGTTTCATTATTAATAACATCCCAGTTGACATTTTGCAGTTTACGTTGAAATTGTTCAAGACTGTGGAATGCCACTTGTCTTGTTGTGTACTTTTTGGCTCAGGTTTAGGTATTATATTTAGATCACCAAATAGGAATATGGGTAAACGATCTGAAAGGTCGGTATGAATAATGCCACTTATCATATAATGGTCTAAGTTATTAGTGATAATGTTATCGATCAAAGTGGATGAGTGATAAGTTATTCTAGTAGGTTTAGATATGGTAGGGTAACAGCTATTAAGGAGGAGAATGTCAACAAAATCATTAGTGGGCTTGTGAGAGTTAGAATTAAGTAAATTAATATTAAAGTCATCCATTATGTAACATAATTTATTTTCAAAACTTATTTTATTGAAAATCTGGTTGATATCTTCATTGAATTGGTTAATATCGGCATCAGGTGGTTTATATATACATCCTACTAAAATGTTTTTGCTATGAGGTTAAGCTAATTCAGCAAATATAGATTCATATGTAGAGTGAGAGAATTCCAGGTCAGATTAGCCTGCGTAGCAGGCGTTTAGCTGACGGGCGGGAACTGAGGAAACGGCTGCCCAAATGGCTATGACAAATTTGTTTTCGCCCATTAAGGATGATTGACGTTTTGTAATTAGCACCTTCACCCATTATCCAATCATAGTCGAGATTTATATTTAGCATCATGCATACTTTTTGCTCGGCAACTAGGGAGATTTGCAGAGATTTTATGTACTATTTACTGTAAAACATGAGCAGCAGTGTTTTATCACATATAAAGATGGTCTGATAAAACACGCACTGCGAATGTTTTAAATTGCTTCAAAAACGATCGATCTAGTATAAGTTCATTGGCGAAATAGCTTTCGGAAAATTCGTTGTGTATGTAAAGAAAATCAAACTTACAGTTTATGAAAATCAAGGGAAATCTCTATCACATATAAAGATACACGTTTATGATTTTTCTTTGTGTTTCTTCCTCATGAATTATTAATGAGTTTTTGAAGCTATTTTAGACAACAGTCACATGAACACAGTCACAGAGCTTTTTCACAGAGCTGAACCACGGTTGTTTGTAAACGTATTCTGCCGTGTAGCAAATTAACTGCAAAATTATAACAGTTGAGCATGTTTTGAAATGTTATTCTTAAAATCATCATCCAACCTCATAGCTGCAATGCCAAGTGATGTAGCCTCAACTATCTGGTCTTGAATTATACTTTAAAGTGAACAGATAACAAGACAACTATAAGGAATATTCGATCCCTGCCGCTCGGGCAAGCTTTGATTTGCAGATTTTCCGTATTCCGTAGGAAGAATCGTGATAACCGGCGTCTTCACCACGTAGCAAATTAATAATAGACCTTCTCTATTCTGGTTTCAACTGAATTTCGAAGCCTAAATACTTGAAATATAAGAGTTCCCTCGAAAAGCAATAACAGGCGGAATATTTTCGATACGCGAGCAAAATTATTGTTGACTTTTGAGTTACGTAATTACTTCCGTTAACGAGATTGACCAATGGGAAGCTTTTCCGAAGATTCTTCGGAGAAGAACAAATTAATCATAGGCATTTGGGCAGGCGTTTATTTAACGACGCCCTCTCTTCTCTCGCCCGCACTAAACGCCTGCTAAGGTCAGATCGAAGTTTGAAGTCAAAAGAGGAGTTGATGTATAGACCAACTCCACCTCCATGCTTAACATTTCTATGTTTAGATATAAAATTATAGTTTGGTATAGGATATAAGTCATAAGATAATTTGTCAAGCCATGTCTCTGATAGTCCAATAACAGATATAGAACAATCAAGAGAGGACATGAAAACCATGAAATCATTAAAATTTTGCTTAAGGCTTCTTATATTAATATGGATCGTCGAGAAGTAATTCTGGGTTTTTGTTAAATTAACATTGAATTCCACTGTTGTATAATATATACATTTAGAAAGTGTTTCAGAATTAGATGCAAAAATAGGTACGCTACGCGTACATGAATCTACGAATAGCAATAAATCGTTGCCCCACCCTACCCAGTAGTCAATCGACAATTTTAAAAAGTGAATGGCCGACAAGCACTAGCTAGTCTAGAACATAATCAGAAAATAATTTATGCGTGCATAAACAGGTCATTGACATACCAGTAATTTGCGCTAAAACGGTTATTCCAGTTCAAAATATTTAAACTGATTGTAATTGTAGGACGATACTTAGTTGCACACTTATTATAAACAAATCCATGGTAGTAAAAACCCACAGTAACTGTGTCTTAAGGTCCATACACACCGGACGCCGAAACCTAAGACTGAATATCTTAAAAAAAGTTAACCAAACAAAAGGTTTGCCCAAACCTAAGACTGAATATCTTAAAAAAAGTCTTAGTTATAGAGGAGCGAAATTGTGGAACAGCCTTTCTGATGAAGCAAGAAACAAACATACTCTTGCTTCGTTTAATTCATGTATACGACACCTGGCCAATTAATTAATTAATTAATAAAATAATTACGTTAATCTAAAATATTGAACAGTACTAACATTAATTTAATTTGTAAATAATTATATACTAGTTGTATTTGTAAATGTATTGTAATTGTTGTTAACTGTAATGTAATGTAATGTATGACCATAATTTGTATCAATTGTATTTTTTAACTATTTAAATCTACGCCCCCCTTGGAAATCAGCCTTCGCTGTAGGGGTTAGCGTAGTTAAATAAAGTTTTACCTACCTACCTACCTACCTACGCGATTTGGCAACGCGAATTTTCAATTTTCAATGACATTTAACTTCAATATTTTTCTATGTTTTTCAACTCTTAGTTGTTTTTAAAAACTGAAAATTCGCGTCGCGTTGTCGAATCGCGTTCGGTCTGTATGGACCTTAATGCGTGCACAATCCGAACGCATTTTTAATAATAATAATAATAATAATAAAATCTTTATTTATACTGATAAAAAGACCGTTCAGTCAATTACATAGATTGGCTGGTATCAATAGGTGATCAGTGTATAACAAGTATATATACAATAACATAAGTGCGTATAACAGTGCATAAATAAGGCTATATAATGTAAACACCGTTTACACCCGCAACCCCCGCTGCGACTCCAGGCGCGACCCTCCTCCCCCGATGCATGCGAACCAGTAGATGAGCAATGAATGTTCTGAGTATATGTACCTTCATCTGAACATTCACAACTCATCCTCCCGCCCACTCCCACCAGAAGAAAAAGACCGCACCCAAAATCGCAGCAAAGATTGCGGGTGTAAACAGGCCTTAAGATGTCTAAAATTACAAAATACAATTGTGCGTAACAGCATCCATGTTTATCAAGTATTTAAACACTTCATTCTTGAACCGCACAAGTGTTTTTAATTCTCGTATTTCTTTCGGTAGAGAATTCCAATCTCTGGCAGCCGAGAATCTGAATGAAGTCTCGCCACATCTAGTTCTTACAGGCGGTAAATCTAGCAATGTTGGAGGTCGACAGTGCATTTGTGATCGTCTCACTAGATAGCCTATCAACTGCTTTGGGCAATTTATGTTGTTTACGATCTTATAAACGTATTGCAATCTTATAAGACGACGTCCTCCGTACAGTGACAAAAGGGGTAATTTAGCACGCATCTCCTGAGTACATGACTTACGGTTCGCGTGTAACACTACCTGCATCGCTTGATTTTGTAGTCATTCTAAGCTTTGGACGTTTCTCTGTCCGCATTCAGCCCATACGACGCATCCGTAATCTAACAAAGGAAGCACAGTTTGCTTGTAGATCTTTAGCAAAACATCGCGGCTAAGAAAATGTGAAATTCTGTTAAGCAATTTAAGTTTTGGGTAAACTCTTGATTTTATATAAGTGATATGTTTATTCCATGTCAGGCAGTTATCTATATAAACACCTAGGTGCTTATAATATTCTGACTGTTTCATTGTGTTTCTATCAAGGATAATCTGTAACTCTCTGGTATTCTTGACAGTGTACCTCGATCCAATCAGCATTGCCTCACACTTCTTGTGATTACTGATTAGGCCGTTCTGATTCCACCACATCACGATACTTTCAAGGTCTTGGTTGACTCGTTGTTCCGCTACGTCGATGTCTTTCGAGCTCGCATGGATTTCTGTATCGTCTGCGTACAACGTCGCCTCACTGTCCTTGCATGCATCAGTGATCCCGTTTATATGGATGTTAAATAGCGTCGGCCCGAGGACTGAACCCTGCGGAACCCCGTGTGTAATTAAACGCCGTTGCGACTCTACGCCTTCGCACGAGACAAATTGCTTCCTTTCGTGTAGATAACTCGTGAACCATTTCAGTTCGTTTCCCGTCACTCCGCTTTTCGATAGTTTGCTTATCAAGATGTCATGATCTATGATGTCAAATACCTTTCTCAAGTCTAGGAAGGTACAAACAACTTTCTCTCCTTTGTCTATAGCAAACTTCCACGAGTCAACGGTAATAATAAGTGCTGCTGTAGTTGACGAGTTCCTGGCGTACGCAAATTGATGGTCACCGATAAGATTATTCTCCGCTGCGAATTCTTGTAGATCGAGATTGGCGAATATTTCTTGCGCCTTTGATATGCAGGGCAGAACGGAAATTGGTCTTCGGTTGTTACGATCAGTCTTGAACCCGCCTTTAAACAATGGTGTCACTCTCGCCGTTTTCCACGACGACGGAAAACGACCGTACTGATAGCATGCATTGAATATGTTAGATACAACGTTGCTGATATAGGGAGCAGCGGTCTTCAAGACTTTAGCCGAAATATTGTCTGCTCCTGTAGCTTTCGATATATCCATCGTTTCTAAGAAGTTGAAAACGTCGTCTTCATTCAAGACAAGAAATTTAAAAGTGTTTTTTGAAATGACCGGGTCGTTTTCCTGCTGTGGAGCTGCGTGGGATTGGTGACTGGCTAACAACGAGGATGCAATTGTTGTAAAATATTCGTTTAAAGAATTAGCAATGTCACGCTTGTCACTTAACTCTTCACCATCAACCACTAACTTTTCAATTTCATTGCAGTTTTTCTTGGATGGAAGGACCAGACGTAATGCGTCCCAGAAAGCTTTAGGTTTTCCACGATTTTCTTCAAGCTTGTTTCTGAAGTAATCTTTTCTTGCCTTTCTGTTTATTTCGGTTACTTTGTTACGAAGGCGTCTGTATTCATTCCAGTCCACAGTGGGCCCCACTATGAGTTATGATTGAAATAATATTGTATTTATTTTTAAAAACCTACTTGAATCCCTTGATAATCGAAACATTTTAAACTGCTTGAATCATTATACTATCACTCTACATGAAGTATAGATGATCGCTGACAAGTAAGGACCGCGGGCGCGAAAAGACGAAGGCGGCGAAAGAAGGGAGAATTAAGGTTCGGTCACACGGAGCGACAAGTCGCAGGGGGCATGTTGCAGGGACATGTCGCCCGAAACGAGTCACACGAAGCGACAATGCTAGGTGAAAACAAGTCGCACAAGCGCTTACAGGCGCGTGGTCACACGAGGCGACAATTCATGCGACAAGTCAAAGAACTCCCATGAGGACTTATATTGAAATTGAGCGTGCAAGTAGTCATGGGAATGATATTTTGTGATTGGTCGGACTAATTATTTCCCCGCGACTTGTGAACAGACTAGCTCACACGATGCAACAAGTCGCGGCAACGGTTTTTGTCCCCGTGACACGTCGCATGAAATCAAATCAATTTGACTTCATGCGACATGTCGCGGGGACAATATTTTGTCCCCGCGACAACGCTTACACATGTGACACACGATGAAATTCGACCCCGCGACATGTCCCTGCAACATGCCCCTGCGACTTGTCGCTCCGTGTGACCGAACCTTTAAACTAAAGGGTTGAAACATCGACTACATGACATTTCTAAATGCCTTAAAATTCACAATTTCTTTGTGTTTTCGAATATTTTTTTTCAGATTCTATGTCTTTTTGGACATATCTTCACAACTGATGTAGTAGATTCAATAAACGATTTGTGTTTTTACATGAAACACTCGAAGGGTTTTTTCGCATAATGTGTTCCATAAGTAGGTTGTTCTCGTGACGTCAAGTATAATGAGTCCGAGCCGTTTAAAAGGTTTACAGAACATCGAGAGAAGAAATAATGGTGATCAAGGGATTCAAGTACGTTTTTAAAAATAAATACAATATTATTTCAATCCTAACTCACATTGGGGCCCCGTGCGAAATTGCCAGAGAACAACCTACTTATGAAACACATCAAACGATGACCCGCCGAAGTTTCAACCCTTTAGTTTAATTCTCCCTTCTTTCGCCGCCTTCGTCTTTTCGCGTCCGCGGTCCTTACTTGTCAGCGATCATCTATACTTCGTGAAACGTCATGCAGAGTGATAGTATAATGACTCCAAGCAGTTTAAAATGTTTACAGAATTTCGTGAGAAGAAATAATCGATTATCAATGGATTCAAGTGGGTTTTTAAAAATAAATACAATATTATTTCAGCCATAACTCATAGTGGGGCCCCCTGTGTCCAGTCCTGAGACAGTTCTGATCTTTTTGCCTTTTTGTGCATTTGATCACGTGTTCTCACGAGCTTGAGTGTAGTGCTATCAAGCCATGGGTGAGTCTGTCTTCGTATACGCTTTCGCTTTAAGGGGAAATGTTGGTCAATTAAGGATTTCATCAGTGATTCCCATACAGAACACATACTGTCCACATTGTCGAAAGAATCAACCAGGCTCCACGGAGCGTGTTTCAGATCAGCCAGAAAAGCATTCACTTTGTTGTTTTTCGCGTGACGAATTCGTACACGCCATAATAATAGAGACTCCTGCCCACTAACCTATATAAGGACAATGCTCCTGCCGTGAAACAAAATATTATGAAACACATCAATACACAATTGACTAATAAAGTATTTAGCCGACCATATTAATATACGATGTGTATTTATGTACTTTAAAACATAATTGTTTCATATGAGAAACTGATGTATCGATCAATTCGAAACTTCACCATCCCCCCCCCCCCGGGCATACCCCAGGGATTTGACTTCAAGTCTTCTCCAGGGAGTAGGGAATTTGACGTTCTAGGTCTTCCATGTGGTGGGGTATTTGATAACGGGGTGGGGAATTTGAACCGGAAGTCTTAAGATTTTGCCCGTTTTCGCGTGCTTCCTGCATGCACAGAAAATACTTCGCATTGGCGGCAAATACAGTTTTCTCAGATTTCGAGGGAAACGGCCTCAATTTTGTGAAAAACTGGCTCAAAGAAACGGGCATGGAAAATCTATGTGCTTCACCTGAAGGTATGTACTACATAATTGTGTAAAACTGTTAAATTTCCACAAGGTATTACGTGAATTTCGCTATCTTGTCGAAAAACATTTCCGTATATTTTGTACTTTTTGTATTTACTGTTTCATAATTTTCATATGAAGGTGGGCATTTGAACGCTTAATTTCTTGTTACAGTTGGGCATTTGAAGACATTTTTTGCACAGGGGGTGGAGAATTTGATCAGTCAAATTTCAAAAAGTTCAAATTCCCGGGGTCGGCCGGGGGGGGGGGTGAAGTTTCCAATTGATCGATACATAAGCAGGAATAAGAAATCGGCGCTGCATGATACAGACTTAGAACGCGCATAAGCTTTATAACCCTTTATTAGTTTAGCCTATTTATCAAAGTTCAGAGGTCGGCTGTCGCAAAACGTTTGTATATATATTTAAAACATTTAATGGGCCAATTTTACTCGAAACCTTAGTGGCTTACTTATTCGCTGGTTGTTATACTTTGAAATAATTCTGTAGCTCATATTTTACCAAACTTCGCCTTCATTCGAGCGCCAAAACGGATTCAAATGCCTGTTAAGTGTCCAGATGACTCCAAATAGGAAACTATATATATATATATGCGAGTCAAAATTGATACTTTCACCGAGGGATTTTTTAAATTCTGTTGATGACACAAATTCGTCAATATGTTTTTAACAGCACCCGCTGCAATAGATTTGTAACCCAATCATTCAGCTTAAGCACAAATTTCTCCCATATGTTGTTTAGGTTCTCGCCTTCATCAATCGCGTTCTTATTCGAATTTTTTATGTCCTTGACATTTTGGAAAGTGTATAACTCATGATCAGTAATATAAAGTAGATAAACATACTCAATTTGTGCTAAAAATATAAATATTTCACAGAGAGCATTTTTTCATGACCGCCATCTTAGTTGATCACGTTTTCATGACCGCCATCTTAGTTAACGAAGGTAAGTTTGATGTATTGCTTGTTTTATAATTGCTTTAAAAGCTGATCGTTGCGTATATTTTAAATGAGCATATAATTTCAGTGTATCTTTGTTGATTACCCTTTTTATTATATTAAAATTTTTGAATAAAAAAGAAAGCAAACTTATTTGCATGCGAGAATTTGAAATCATTTTAGATAGATAGATGGATAGATAGATAGTTTATTGAAGTTTACATTGCAGCCATAAGCTGAATTAAGTAAAATTTACAAGAATTTATAAAAAAAGAATTTTAAAACAAGGAATTCTATTATATGTGCAGGAATTGCACTATGCATTATAAGTAGTAATACCTTGGCCGTCTGAACCTTTCATTTGAGGAGGAGTGAGGAGGAGTGAGGAGGAGTGTGGTGGAGTGTGGTGGAGTGTGAAGTGGTGGAGTTTGAGGTGGTGGATGTGCACCACCTCATTTATAATTAATAGTCATACAAATGAGCGTGAGGTAATTAATATTCATACAAATGAGGGTGAGGTAATTAATATTCATACAAATGAGGGTGAGGTAATTAATATTCATACAAATGAGGGTGCGTATAGTGACGTGACTCATTAGTTAATTTATACGCCAAACGTCAACTTCAAACGCCAAATCTTAATTTACTGCTTGGTGAATGGCATGACTAGTGGTTAATTTGCCTTCTTAAATCATTGCTAAAGAGCAGAAGCTTAATAAGTTTAACATATTTCAAAACTGGTGTAAAAGCTATTATAATAGAGTTGTAAAATCAAAAACCTCGCTAGCGGTTTGACGTTTGCCGTAAACGTCAATCTAAAGGTCTCTAGTAACGCGAGGCCAACGTAACGGCAAAGACAACGCTAAAATGAAATATTGTCGATTGGTTGCTGGTAGAACACTTACGACAAGATCAATCTTAAATAACCTTAAACTATTTAAAATTTTAAAAAAAATCTTTATACACGGTAACTTTTCAGCAGTATATACGTACATATAATTTATATAAGTAATCATGCATGCAATAATAAATTAAGAAAAAAATAAATAAAATGCTGGTTTTCAACTATAACAATAAATGTTCACATCATCATCATCCCAAAGTATAAAATATGCTCTGTAAACTTAGGACCGGTGGAGAAATGTGTGCATGCATGAGCTGTTTATTTGGTGATTTCAACGTATATGGAAGCCCTCTTTCCAATAATATTCGCTAATCGCACAGCATAACACCAATTGATGTAATAGTTCAAATGCAATGATAAATTATCTCTTGAATTACGTCTCGGAAACTGTGTTGAAAATTTAAATGCTGATCCATTACATATAAGATTATCGCTTTACATCTTTGTATATAAAACATTTTGATCGCATGTAAGGAATTATTTCTCATCCCAGAGACATAGAGCCAGAACTAAGAATTTTAGAAAGAATTATCTGTACTAAGAATTTTAGAAAGAATTATCTGTACCTTCTCAAAGTTGTAGACAAGATATGTTGTTTACGTCCAACACGCATAAGATTACATAACTCAAAATAATTCGAGCAAAACCGGTCTTTTGTTAAAAGGAAGACTGGTTAACAGAAATTGGTCCTTTTGAGTGACATAATCGTGTATCGTCATCAATCCGTGTCGTTGAACAATGAAAAAAATTGCTGTGAAATTATTGAAGATAAAATAGCATTTTGTGAGAAAACTGCGGGTCTACGGAGCGGGAACTTTTCGGATTTGAACTCAACGTGTTCGAAAGTGTTTGTTCCCATAAAAATATTTCAGATCTAAGACATGCCAAATGAAAATCTTTTCTAGGCACTTTTCGAGGTAACAACACATGGACTAAGGTGCGCTATTGACGTTTTGCAAGCGTTGTTTGGCGTTTTTTCGTCGTAACTGTTTGCCGCGCCTGCTCACGGCCACGGGCATACCTCCAGCTATTCTGTAGGATTTATTTAGCTTGTTTTTTAATTGTTTAACTCTTGGTTTGTTTAGGTTTTTAGGTACTATAGTCGCTATTGCAATTGCAAAAGTTGTTATATTTTTTCAGTTTACGGCTTACAGTACAGATTGTGCCTTTTTGGGGGGTTCAGGGAGTACAATTTACATGTTTCTGTACGTTGTTCCTTCAGATGGGTAAGTGTCCAGTGTAGGTTATTTAACGTCGTCCGTTACTGGTTTGTATGACGCTATCTCTGTCCGTCGAGAGGAATTCTCGGCATCATTTGTATGTGTCAAGCTGGAAAGGCCGGGAGCTTCCCTATCTATCAAGCAGTCTAGCCGCGCGGGAGCTGGTGGTAAGCTGGCTTGCGGAGCCTTCTCCAACAGAGCAACATCATACAAATGCTAAATGTTTGCTCGCGGTATTATTGCCATTATGTTGCGGTCCACTGCTTTAAAAGCGAGTGATTGTATGTTAACAATTTCTTACAAGGATTTTCTCGTATATGTCAACATGGATAACAGACCAGATATTCCTATATATACCAAAAACAATATTACGTGACAGCCGTTGTCGATCGGCGCCTTGTATAACAACACCTCATATCTACAGCGTCTGTCTTTATATCTATACTACAGTATCTACAGTCGTCTATGTATCCAAAAAATAGATCCAGAGAAGAATCATATACTTTAGTACCTCTAACATCCTTTTTAGGTAATCTAAATAAATATTTAAAAAATAGATCCAGAGAAGAATCATATACTTTAGTACCTCTAACATCCTTTTTAGGTAATCTAAATAAATATTTATATAGGTTTAGGAAATGCATGAGCTACCAACTTAAAAAGTGTCATTCTTTGTTTTGTCGAATATTACCAGAATCAATCCTTTCAATGAACCTTTTAGTTAAATTTTCAAATTTTGATCCAGTGCAACCATTAGTTGATTCAAAATTCAAATTAGTTGACGCTGTCTAGATAATTCCCTACAGACCATCCAGTGTGTATGTCAAATAAAATCTTAAATACGGTCAACATTTTACAACTGTATTTCATGTACTTACCATAGAACCCCTATTCATCCAGCCGAGATCACCCTAAAAATAATTCGAACAGTCACAGAAATACATGACAGGAAATAAAAGTACTTCATGAAATGGAACTTACTGACGTAAAAGCACAATTTATTAAACACTACAAGTATGAGAGCCTCTTAGTTGGAACAAGGAAAGAGTTCGATAAATTCGTGCTTTTGGACGACATCAAAGTCTATGTTTCTCTTTCAACACAGCTTTATTTGTTACTAAAAATCTAAAACCTTAGATTTAAGATTTTAGACATTGATGTCGTCCAAAAACACAAAAACACTACACCCAATTTGTGAATTTGTTGTTCGAATTGTCCTCTAATTCAGTTGTCGCTCTTGTCTTCTGTTTGTTTATTTGTCTGTCTGTGGTTGTTTTCTTTAACGTTTGTCGTACTTCCAAAGTTTATTTTACATTTTGAATGTTTTGGAACCCCGTTATTGGAGAATTTTTCTTTGTGTGGTGATTCCAGCCAATCACTATTATTTGAGTTTAATTTATGTCATGAACTGTATTTATATGTCTATCAATTTTAATGGCAAAGCTTGAAAAATACAAGCAATAAAAAAATACTAATCCTGCAATAATACTGTACACTACTGTAATGCAACAATTTATACAATACAATGGAAACTCCGAAGAAATTCATATTTTTAATTCAACGTTTCGACTACTGTTGAGTCATCGTCAGGAATTATGATAATCCCTCATGATGATGACTCAACAGTAGTCGAAACGTTGAATTAAAAATGTGAATTTCTTCAAATACAAATTTCCATTGTATTGTATTTTATTAGAATACTCAGTGGTTACCGTAAATTTTTACAGCAATTTATAATTTGATTAAATAGTAGTAACAGTATAAATAATAAAATTATTTCAATTATAATAAAAAATATTATACCCCTTGTCTTGCTTTATCTTCGCTGTACGTTCTTGCTACTTCATCAAACTTTTGACCCTCTTTTATTTTGGCCATTGCTTCCATAACTTTTGAATGTTTTTCACATAGAATATGTCTAACCTGGAATAAATCACACATATTAATTCACTACAAAATGTCCCTTCCTCAAGAGTAATTTATAAAAACGGGGTGGTTTTGTACCCCATCAGGTAGTAAGGTATAGTTTTACTCTAGACAAGACACAAATCCACCCTGATTTTCAAATATTTATAAAAACGGGGTGGTTTTGTACCCCATCAGGTAGTAAGGTATAGTTTTACTCTAGACAAGACACAAATCCACCCTGATTTTCAAATATTTATAAAAACGGGGTGCTTTTGTACCCCATCAGGTAGTAAGGTATAGTTTTACTCTAGACAAGACACAAATCCACCCTGATTTTCAAATATTTATAAAAACGGGGTGGTTTTGTATCCCATCAGGTAGTAAGGTATAGTTTTACTCTAGACAAGACACAAATTCACCCTGATTTTCAAATATTTATAAAAACGGGGTGGTTTTGTACCCCATCAGGTAGTAAGGTATAGTTTTACTCTAGACAAGACATAAATCCACCCTGATTTTCAAATATTTATAAAAAACCTTTGAGTAGTTAATAACTTAAAATAAATCTTCAATGATGAAATTAGATTTTGCTTTCTAATCTTTATTTAGTGGTCAAAATACACCTGCGTTTGATGGGTGGAGCAAGTTGCCCGGAGTCGGAGAGGATATACACTCAGAGTAACATCACAAACATCATATTCACCTGAGTAGATAACACCAACACACACAAAAAGTATCATAGAATATATTAATATTGAAGGAACTAGACTCAGTTCCGAAATATCAACAATTCGAACTGACTTGGTCGGTTCCCACCGTGGTCAGGCAAACTTTTCAGCTTGCCCGGTGTGGATGCACACTCACAGTAACATCACAAACATTAAATTTACATTTGCCCATGTATGATTATTATTATTTCTCTCAGCAGAATAGAGCTCTATCACGTTTTGAGTAAATTCAAGTTTTATGTTAGCACTATATATTAAATACCAGAAATAAACAGAGCAAGCTTCAATTCCTAGCAAATCCTCATACAAAATTTCTTTTTAAAAATAGTACCAGTGCCACAGTTTTCAACATAAAACTTCGAATTTCTTGTAGTTGCTAACTTTGACCTGGTGTTTTCACTTCTGGTAGAATGCTAACATCAAATTTTAACTCTCTTTTTTACTCAAAAAGCGTGATTAAGGTGTATTGTGTCTACTGAAGACTGTAAATTTTGTTTATAATGATAAATTATTATTAAGTGACAAAAACAACTTCACAGAAGTTCCTCCCTTCTTTGACTTTCCACCTGTCGCCTGGTCTCCATCACTTTCTGTAAATTATACACATAAAGAACTATAAATCTACAATCAATCTAGAGAAGAGTTAAATTAATGTACTTAATGTACTGAGAACAATTAATTAATGTGCTGCAGGGGCTTCGGTGATGCAGTCGCGTCAGAGCAAGCGCCTTTCATCTCTGAGATTGTGGGTTCCCGCACCAGACTCATGTGAAGAGCCAGTCAACGCTCTGTCAAAAGTCGTCGGTTTTCTTTCGGTGTTCCGGTTTCGTTCCACAAGGAATTAGTTGAACCTTGCATGAATTCATTTTACAAATTTCCAAGATTTTGGTGAGATAAATAAGAAAATATTGGTAATCGGATTTTGATAAATTTTTCAGGACCAGAATTCAGTAATTACATCGTGATTACATGATTTATCCTACCTTTTGGTCCCTTGTCAGGTTTCTTACCCTTTTTAGGAGGCATTGTAAAATATGGTACACTATGTGCAGTGCTAAAAAAATATGCAAAACAAATATTAACTCAGAGATCCCAAGGATGGTGCAAAGTTGACACGACAAATGATATAAGTCAACAAGAGCCATGCATTGCAACAAGATTGGGTGAATCTTCTGATAAAGATTTATTATAATACCCATTCGCAAGAAATATACGAGATAAGCAAAGGCTTGCAGTAGAAGGTGATCGTATACATAGTGCGAATGTTTCACTAAATTAGGCACACTCGTGACTGTATGTGATTATAGGGGAATAGAAGGGGAATACTTAATATATATGTAGCCTGCGAGCAGGCTCTCAAGGTGAAATGAGAGCCTGCACTGATGACATGCAATTTTGAATATCTGCCTCGTAACGTTCGTTTTTCCAAATATGGAATGTCTATCCTTATATGGTGTTGTTTACAACTTTTGTGCAAACTAAATTTAGACCGTACAAACTAAATTTAGACCATACAGTTTATACTGTTTTTCAAAATATAAGATATTCAAGCAAAAGTTTAAATGTTTTAAATACTATTTTCTCAAAACAGAACATTTTGTGCTTTGAGATAAGATGGCCAAGATCAATTTGATCAGTTAATGTGTTTTTTATGCACAGTGCTTCAGCAGTTGACATATATAGAGCTCAGCAGAAACATATATTAAATTATAGCATCTGACCAATGAGAATTTTGCGTCCCGATTCGAGACGCAGATATTCAAAATTGTATGCCATCAGTGCAGGCTCTCATTTCTCCTTGAGAGCCTGGAAAACATTGGGGGGCTGCCGGCGCCACTGCTGACCAGGGGATCCTGAATTAAGTCAGCAGGCGTTTTTGTTATTGAATAGAAAGATCAGAAACTTGCTTGGTTCTTGGTTCACAAAGGCATTTTGGGCAAATTCTTCAGGAATTATTTGCAGTTTTTTACATTTTGAGGAATTTTGGGTGGATTTTCAGAATTGCAAGAATTTTTGTGCAGGAAATTAATTTCCTCCAAAGCCAAAACTATTCAATCTGAATCTGGTAGACTGGTACATATATTAAAATAATTAAATTATTTGGACTAGTATCCCGAAGGTCGCGGGTTTGATTCCCACCAGTGGCCAAGGAAACTTTTCATCTTGCCCGGTGTGGATGCATAGTCAGAGTAACATCACAAACATCATATTCATCTGAGTACATAATGCACCAGTCAATGTAAACCCCCCCCCCCAACCGGGGAGGGGTGGGGATTTTGGCTTAGAGGGGTAGTAAAAGAGGGAAATTGTCCCTGCCCCCGGGGAAAGGGTAACTAATCAATGTCCTTGCATGCTTCTCAACACCGGGTTCCAAGATAGTTTTTGTATATTTCATAGATCAGCAATAGAAAATCAAATTCATTTATGTTATTGTATTTTAACTTTTCTTGTAAAGAAAACTAAAACAGCAACACAGGATAATATATGTTGACCACTGAATTCATTCCCCTGCTTTAGTCCCTGCATTGTCTACCAAAGGACCATTCCATCACACCCCCTATGGACGAGGTCAATAAAATTTGAACCCCTAAGAAAAAAAGATCAAAGTGCCGACACAAACAACCCC